ATGATGTACGTAGATCTGGTATTTAATAGTTAGGAATACATATATGTTCCACGCCCACACATGATATAGCAGATGGTAATTCTGAACCTGTTAAGTCTGCATTATACAAATCAAGCTCACAGTACACATAATGATTCTATATGAGGGGGGGGGGGGAGGATCGGAGTTTAGCACTTGGAACTCACTCTCTCAAGGCTGGTTTCTAGATGGTACAGACACCACCATATCTTTGTGATACTGGAAATCGAGCATCATGTTTCCAGGGACATCTTACTGTGTAGTAGGCAGCTAGATACTCCTCTCACAAAGTCTACCACCAGACGGAACATTTACATACTTTTAGAAGCGCGACATACGGGCTCAAAATCTTATAACAAGAAAAGTTTTCTAAGACAACAAGGTTTCGTGTTTGAGAACAAAAACGGTGGGCACAGAGCAGTTCCTTTTCCTCTTAAGACAGAGTTTATTAAAATGTTTGTTTTTGTTGGATTTCGCGCAAAACTAGACGATCGTTATCTGCGCTTGCCAACACTAGTTTTGAAGTAATAGAGTAAAAGAAAAGCATCTATTTAACACCACCCGCCGTCAACTCTTGTCCACACCTAATAATCGGGAGGCGGTAATGGAATACAAGCCACGTTTCCTCAACTCCATAGTCTGACACGCTAGCCACTGGGCCACGCTCAGCACCTGCTTAACTGTCATGGTAAATAGTGAACGTGGTGTTAGGAGAAGAAGACGTAAAATGTGTTGTTTAAAACTATAATTTCAAACGATTAGGTTTTATTTTCGGTTTCTAAGAAATGTGATATCAAAAGCAGAACTCACTTATCTAAGCAACAATGATTGTAGATAAAAAAATGTGTAAAGCGTTGCTAATACCCGATTAATGGGAGAACGGTATGTTTACATTTCAGATAACAACGTACATAGCTGATATGTTCTTCACAATGACGCACTCTCTTCTGTGTAATACTGTACGTAACCGTAAACTAATATAATGTTGTTGTTTTTTCTCCAACTCGGTCGAATATTTCATTTTTGCCCTACAACGATCGCAACTTATGATGGTAAATATATAGAAGTGGAATTTATAGAATATAACATTTTAAAATTCATGTTTACGTTTTAATTATACTATGATTTATTAAAATTATTCAGCGTTATTTACTAAATCCTTTCAAGCAGCTGCATAATAATATGTGCAAATTTCCACTTTCAAATTGAACAACAACATTTGTCCATTTCAAGTTAAACACCTAATGTAACACATGTTTGTACACCCACATTTTTGCTGAGCATCAAGAAAATTCAACTTTCCAGTGTTCAAGTAAAGTATATTTAATTGGTGTTTGAATTTAAATTGTTGTATGAATGTCACTTACTATATGTTTGTCCGAACTAAATTTATTCTTTGACACACTGGATTATTAATTTACGTTTTTCTTAATAATGAAGGACTATTTATAAGTTATTTTTTAAGTTTTCGTAATTGTAATAGTGTTAGCTTAGAAAACATTCAAGCGAAGTTATTTTCTCAAGTACAGAAAATGTTTTTTTCGTTCTAGAAATAGTTATGACATATTTCCAGGATACTTCCTGCTACATCTAATAAACCTTAGAACATCATTTGCCGTTTATCTCTCAGCATATGCTACTAATTTAATATCAGTTATTTTTCATTCCATACCGCCTACCTAGTACCTAATAACAGCAACTTCCTATCTAGCAACAGTTGCTTCCTATTTATTATAAGCTTCTTCTTACTTAGCAACACCTACTTCCTAACTAATGTCCCCGGGGGAACAGTGGTAAGCCTTTTGACTTACAACCTTAAAATTTCGGGTTCGATTTCCCGCGGTGGACACAGCAGATAGCCCAATGTGGCTTTGCTCTAAACAAACAAATCAAACTAATTACAATTACTTCATATTTTGTAACAACTGATCTGTATTTGATAGCAGCTAATTCCCCATTTAGTAACAGCTACTTCCTATCCAGTAGCAGATGCTTCCTATTTAGTATAAGCTACGTTTTTAGTAACTCCTACTCCCTAATTAATAGCTACTACTCCGTAGTTTGTAACAGCTAGTTTGTAAGTAATAACAGCTAATTCCCTATTTAGTAACAGCAACTTTTTATCCAGTAGCAGCTGATTCCTATTAAGTATAAGCTACTTCTTATTCAGTAGCACCTACTTCCTGAGTAATAGCAATTACTTCGTATTTTGTAACAGCTAATTTATAATTCATAACAGCTAATCACCATTTAGTACCAGCTACTTCCTTTTTAATAGCATCTAACTTCGTAATGAGTAATACCGGTTTCCTAATTAGTAGCAAGTACTTCCTATGTAATATCAGCTATAGTTCCCATTTAGTAGAATGTATATGCTATCAATAGTAGCGTCCTTATATTTCTACCAGATACCAGTTACTTCCTTTCTAATAGCAGCTAACTTCGTAATGAGTAAGAGCTATTTCCTAATTAGTAGCGAGTACTTCCTACGTAATAACAGCTATAGTTCTTATTTAGTAGAATGTATATACTATCAATAGTAGCGTCCTTATATTTCTACCAGATACCAGCTACTTCCTTTCTAATAGCAGCTAACTTCGTAATGAGTAATAGTTGTTTCCTAATTAGTATTAAGTACTTCCTATGTAATAGCAGCTATAGTTCCTATTTATTAGAATATATATGCTATCAATAGTAACGCCCTTCTATTTCTACCAGATACTAGTTACTTCGTATGGAACTAAAGTGCGGAGAAGTAAGCGACTCGAGGGTTTTCTGGTTCAACATAACATTTTAAAACTTGCTTAGTTGCTTAGTTTCGACCTGAAATCAAAGTAACATTTAATATAACTAGCAAGAACAATTTAAGAAAAGCTACTTGTTATATTTTAACAGGTACTTCCTATATAGTAATAGCTACTTCCAATCTCATTGCTGCTATTTCCTATTCAATAACAGCAGCTAATTCCTAACTTATAACATCTGCTTCCTATTTAGTAATAGTTACTTCCTAGCTATTAACAGCTACCTCCCAAATAGGTTTGATGAATAGTGGTTAACTAATCTTCAGATCGACATCTAATGAAATTGATGAATAATGGTTAACTAATCTTCAGATCGACATCTAATGAAATTGATGAATAGTGGTTAACCAGTCTTCAGATCGACGTTTTCTTTTCTAGTTGATTAATTTATTTTACACTAAAAGCTATTTCAGTACTTGTGCATTTTTGAACTACCTTATCTAGTGCTATCGTTTTCGATTAAAAAGCATTGGCTATCTTGTTAAGAGGTAACTTTGAGCAAGTTCATTCTTATTGAGTTAATTCGATATAACCGCTGCAATCTATCAACTTCAACAAGGAAAATATTTCACGTTTTATATGATCCATACAGAATACTGGACTCAGTAAATCGTAAACAATCAGATTAATGTAGGAAAGTACAACATAATCGTATTACTTTATGACTAGCACGTTGTGATATTTGTTTTGACTGTTTTATGTTTCCTTCAGTGGCACAGCGGTAAGTCTAAAGGCTTATAACGCTAAAAACTAGGTTTTAATACCTGTAGTGGGCACAGCACAAATAGGCCATTATGCAGCTATGTGGTTAACAACTAACACTGCTTTGTGTTAGACGTGAAATTGTTATTACTATTTTAATGAAGTTATAACTTTGATTTCAGGTCAAACCTTTCATTAAATGTCGATCTGAAGATTAGTTAACCACTATTCATCAATTTCATTAGATGGTCCATATTGTCGATTATTAAATAACATTGTTATGTTAGTAGCGTTACAAAGTAGGTTACATAATGTAATCCTTAACGGAAATCGACCGCATCACAACGAAATTTTGGCGGGATGTTATCAGATTGTAGGTAATATATCAGCGGGAAGATAGATATTTGTCTGATGCTTTTTCAAATCAGTAAAGTTTTAACACACCCGTTAATGTCACCAAAGGTACAGTAGGGAGGCGTATCTCGTGTTTTATTTTATTTTTTAAAGTATGCAGGCGAAATGATTTGGGGAAGTCGGCCAGGAAGAGTGACTTATTGTGTATTCTGTCACCGGAAGATAGCAGTTCATATATTAAGTGAGGAACATACTACTTTTCAGCCGTTACATTGTTTAAAGACATGGATAGCTTTTATTAGTGTTCCGTTTCCTTTTTTTTCGACACAGGACTATAATAGTAATCTCTACTTGAAAACCGTATGCCGGATATCCCTTCGAAGTGAAATATTATAATGTTGAAATAACAGAAGCATTACAGGAACAATTTTTTTTTTGACAGAAGTGTCACTACATAAAAGAAATAACAGTGTTGTATTTCCTGATGCATCATGGGAAGTTTACTATTAGAGCTTTGGATGAGGACGGACCGTGTGTTGTCGACAAATTCAGTCCTAGCCACAGAATTGAATTAGATTATGAATAAGTAGTATAAATCACTGACTTCCTCTAACTTTTGTGGGTCAGACTCTTGTATTCGTATCGTCATCCGGGTATAATGATGCAACTGTACTTTCATCTGCGTCATTTCCCGTTTATCTGATTGCGCTTGATTTCAATGACTAGTTTCCCTTTCAGTGTTTCACCCAATAATCACGCGTGTCGTTGCTCATAATTTCTTCTAGACTACAGAAGAGACATCATCAAGTCCTCTTGGCTACGATCAAACGGTTTCTCTGATGTATAGAATGTCATGGCCAGCTCTATAAAAAAACTTATCATGATACGCTCAAAACTTGAAACTGTAAAAGAAGAATCGTCTAAAGTAAAAAGTATGATTCGTTATAAGAATGTGGGATAATTGTTTTACGTTTCGGTGTTGTTTGTTTATTGACATTTATAATGTTTCCGACTAAACTAAGATATCTGATTACTGCTGCTATACTTATAACTCTAACAATTTTGCTATATGTATTATTCGATAAAATAATTTTAAGTAATTTTGTTTTCATCCTTTAACAGGTATGGAGACGAACATCACACTTTGGCAGTTCTTGTTGGAATTATTGCTCAGCAACCATTATAACCATATTATCACGTGGACGAATAACGATGGGGAATTTAAGCTGGTGAACGCTGAAGAAGTGGCCCGTCTCTGGGGGCTAAGAAAGAACAAGCATAATATGAACTACGATAAACTTAGTCGAGCGCTTAGATACTACTACGACAAGAACATTATTAAAAAAGTATTAGGACAAAAATTTGTGTACCGTTTTGTATCATTTCCAGAGATAATCAAAACAGAAAATAAAATCCCGTTTCATGTGAAAATGGAAAGTATTAACAAGGCTGGGGATATTCCTTTTGATAACAGTTCTTCTAAAGTGACATACATTCCTTCTGGTCCGATTTCTCTTGTTAAAGAAGAACAGACAACTCCGTTAGACCTTCGAGAAGACAGTGAAAGAAAAGCACATGTTTCGCTAAAGGATGAGAAAAATTATATCGGTACTTGGAACAGAACTGCTCCAGTTCCAGAAAAAAGAGAATGGGAAGAGAAAAGACGATTGGAAAAAGAGGAGCTAACAGGGCAAATTATAAGAAATCACTCATCTAGCCCTGAAAATAGAATATCCTTTTCATCACCGGTAAAGAGACAAAAAATTGAACCGGACAGTGACTCCTGTTCTTCACCTGCTCTTTCTTCATCCAGCTCGTCGTCTTTAATTGGAGAGATGAACATTTCATTGAATAAGACAAGAAAATCAAAACCTCCGCCAATTTATCACATCCCTGCCATCTCGAAGCTGACGTCAGGAACGCTAGGTTCTCACCAGACTCCAGTGGTGACTCTAGCTAGCCCATTTTTCACTCAAAGCAAGACTCCTGTTATGCCTTTACCAATGTGGGCACCACTGAGTCCTCTCACGCTTTCCACTCCTCACCACTCTACCGTCCAGTTTCAGTTCCCACCTCATTTCATCAGTCTAGGGTCCACTGCTTTTCCACCACTACGTCCCTTTATCTTACCCCCAAATTCATCATTTGACCCTAAATTCGTGTTTTCCCCAACCAAATCCATTCAAGTGTTGCACTGACTAAGTGAGAACGAAAAAATCTTCAAGAACATAAAGGCATATAGGTGTGGATGTGTTAATCCAACTGGTGTGTATTGAAACCATATATATATCTATATCTATATAACAAATAATTAAATCAATAAAACTAGTCGTCTGTATCTCAGTAGGCTTTGATTGATAGATTTTGGTTTACTTGTTAAACGCGAGAAGTTATCTTTCAGAATAGAGTTACTCTGTGATTACCTTTTCGAATGCCTTGTGATACATTTTTGTGCTGTAATGCATGCTATAATATTTCTAACGAAATATCAAAGGAAAATATGATGTATATACACATAGGAAGTTGTTTTATTACCATATATATATATATGCGTATTGCTCTATTTTGTACGTTAGAAAACAAAACAAGATTAGTAGAAGTATGTAGCAAGTGTGAAGGGCCTTTTGATTTTCTTGGCTAGTAGAGAAACAGTTGTGTTTCCAGGACGAAAGTTGGATTGATACCAGCTGAATAAACGCTTTTATATCGATATTGAAAACATGCACGTGAGAAAAACTGTTAAAAAGCCTCTAGTTTGTTCATTCGGACGTAAACGTCAAATGCGGCGTAAATATTATATAATTATCCTAGACACACAGACACTAATATAAGTACCGTTGGTTGACGTAACTTATATTAAATAACTTACAAACTTAACACAATATGTGTGGTAACTTATGCTGATGTGTATATGGCTGTAATTTCGTGTACATATATTTGTTTGTAAATACATGAAATAAATGCGAATGTTACGCATAAACTCATCAATTTTAGACAATAATACCTCTGTTGATGAATCAGTGTTGATATGACAGAATGTTTTCAGTTGCTGAAAATGTGGTATGACTCATAGGTGTGTAATCTTGAATATTTTAAATTTTCTTCAGAAGTTCATACTTAACGCCTTTCTTGTAAGGTACGCTTCAAATAACACAGCATAATTTTAGTTGAATGAATCTTAGAAAATACATGCCATTCTGTTTTGTTAATTATGAAGCTTTTAAGTTGTAGTTATTATAATATAGTTTAAATTAAAATTCATACCGAAATATTTAAAAGCCACTGTTATGTGTAATTAGATCTCATATCTCATGCCATTTTTGTAAATTAGTAATAAAAATAGCCAATCTTCGAGTCGATAGTAAAACATTTACACTTATTTTTTCGTTTTCTTTGAGTTCAAAGTTTTAAGTGGATTATATTCGCCTCGGTTCTTTTTTGTATCATTCACTTAAATAATGTGTTTACTTTTGTGACACCTACTTCGAAGTATAAGAATAAGAACTATTTTCTTGTCCATTACAAACATTTTTAGTAAGTTTCAATTATCATACAACAGGCAAGTTATTTGCTGCTTAGACAGTTAGCAAATTATCATATCATATTGAATGTCGGAAGGCCTTTACCTCCTTTGAAAGTTCCTACATCGTATATATATATGCATGCACATTCTGAGATTGACCAATCTGTGACAAAGTTATTTCACTGCCCTCCAATAAAATAAGACCTCTTATAGCACTGACAAGAGCAAATATAACATGATATCTTCTGTGAAACTATATGTAAGGTTAGGACTATGTATACTGAAAAGGTTATATGATAATTACACTATATACTAACTGAATGGAATTATATTATCTGTTACTGTATTGGAGGATAGCGTATGTATTATTACTTCATTTGTTTGCAACAGAGAATTCCATTGGAAATTAAAAGGTCTGTGTTATTTATCAAAAACATACAGAGAGGATGGTTAGAATTTTTATGATTACCTTCGGTCGTATAAGAGACTAAACAAAATCTTTGTTTTTGTAAAAATGAAACTTGATTAAACTCAAATTAGCGTTTTTTGTTTTCGTGTTCGACTTCAGGTATCTTTGGAATTTTTTTATTTATGTCTATTCGCAAGTTGCAAAGAAAATACACTATGGAATTATAAGTTATCAAATGTTAAGTGTTATAATTACTTTAATTGCAGCGCTGCAAGTGACTTTTTTTTTCTCTCTCTCTTATTTTTTTTTTATTTTGTGATTTGAACAAGGCTCTGGCGAAGCTTTTAAAGTGCGAAAACGCCATTTAAACTATAAGGTAAAAAAAAACACAAAAATCTTAACGTTATTCTTAAAAAATAAAATTAGAAATTCTGATTTGTAGAACAAAATATTTGATGAAATTCCTAGTTGTTACTGAGCTTGATAAGAGTGAACATGAAATTTGTTGTTGTCTTTTTCCGATAAAGAACAAAAGAAGAAAAAAGGTTAAGCCTAGGTAGCAGTATGATATTGAAGGTGAGGTAACTAAATGATAAAAAAAGAAGAAGAGTTAAGCCTAAGTAAGCGTAGACTTATGAGAGTCAAATAAACACAGTGTGATATTAAATGTAACTAATGATGTACTCGGAAAGCAAGAAAATTAAAAAATCTCTAAATACACAGTTATTTATTAAACAAACTGATACAAGCTAACAACAAGAGCGTTTCATACTATTAGAGAATCATGTGTACATTGTGGTAATTGAAATACTGATGGGGATGTCAATGACGAGACTTCGTTTCTTTATCGTTATCTCCAATGATGAACACGCCTATCTCTGGATATTTAACGCATGAAAAAAGCACTATTTCAGTTGCCTGTAATATATTTTTTATCAATTGTATCATAGAGTACCAAGGAATGAAATATTTCTTGCTATATATCCTTCCTGCATGTTTATTACTTGACACAAGAAAAAGCGCCTAATTCTATGCACATTATTTTTCATATAAGTTTTTTTCTTCATAAATCTAACATTTTGAACAAAAGTGTTTTAGAATGAAAGCTTTCGTGTTTAATAAAGCTACTTAATGGTCAGGTCGCTTATAAATACTTTTTTTCTCTGTTTCAGTGAAACAAAACTTTAGGCTTACATAAAATAAAATGTGACGATTAATTATTCAACGCACGAGCAGTTAAACCACGAGCTTTTGTAAAACTTCATTTTACTTTGAAGGTTTGTTTGTAGTTAAGCACAAAACTACACAATGAGTTATCTGTGCTGTGCCCACCACAGGTATCGAAACACAATTTCAGACTTACCACTGTGCCGCTGAGGGACTAGATTAGAAGGACTGAAGCAGAATGCTATTTACAGTAAAGAAACATTTTACTAGATCTTTTAAAACCTCCTGTTACAAATGTTCTTTTTTTACTATTTCTTAAAATTACTAATATAATTGTTTTAATGACGAACTACTAGTTTTAGCTCATAATATTTTTAATGAGTAGTGAACAACGATCTAGTCTTACGTTATTATGAAGTAAAAGCTGATGGTCCACTGAGCATAACTTTATTTCCCTCACAGATCTAACAACATCTTATTAAAATAGTTTCCAATAGGTAATACACATTTTTCAGTTCTACCTAACCTTATCTCCAAATTACAGATGTTTAGAAAACTGCTTAGGATCGTCTTAAGAAGTTTGCACTTTACTTATTTATTTATTCAGATAATTTTATTGGCGGTCCCCCAAGGCTCGGCGATAGGCCTGAAGGCTTATAATGCTAAAAACTGGGTTTCGATACCCGTGGTGAACACTGCACAGATAGTCTATTGTGTAATTTTGCCCTTAACAACAAACAAACAATGTATACTGATGCAGTTTTTTTTTTCTGGGGGGGATCTATTTCGCTTTCACACTGACATTAAGATATTTCACTTTTTTCCCATCTGTTTTTCAGGGGCCTTGTGTTATAAAGGTTGTTAAATTTAAAGTGATTGTGGAAATTCTGTGTATTACAAAAAAAGTTGTATGGAGAAAGAATAAACTAGTTTTGATTAAGAAAGGACTTGTATCGCTGAAGTTCCTCGAAAATAATTTATCCCGGAAATTAACAAACGAGCAGAGACGTAAAAATATGCATACATGCACACACCCATCCACCAAATCTAAACTGCCTTACCACACTCACAGTAACACACATTAACTCCTCCACCCAACTTACATGTACACACACACCAATATTTATGGTGATTCATAAGCTTGAATCATTCCCATACTACACTTATTTTGTGGGGCCGTGAAAATTAACTGTCAGAATATTTCTGGCTTACAGATTATAAAATGATATCACCATTAGGATAAGAATTTGGCATGTACTGAGCCTTTTAAAGCAATATTCAGAACTTGCATTGAGAAATTGTCTTGACTGTGCACTTGTGAAAAAAAAATCAAACAGTGTTTCACATAAACAAAGCCATTACCAAAGTAAACATTTAGTGGATATTTTTCACTGTATAATATGAAAAGTCACTAAATAATAATGTGACCTATGTGCTAAATGTTTTGGATTCAGTATAATTCTATTATATCTAAAGTTATTTTGTCAACATTTGTTCACCAATTTATTCTGATTTAACAGGTTTGAATGCCCCAAATTTTCTGTGCTGAGAATAAATATAGAAAAATGCTAAAAATTCATAATTTGGTGGCCATTTTGTTTGTGCAAATTTGAAGGTTAAGCTTGTTTGTTTTGGAATTTCGCGCAAAGCTACACGAGGGCTATCTGCGCTAGCAGTCCCTAATTTAGCAGTGTAAGACTAGAGGGAAGGCAGCTAGTCATCACCACCCACCGCCAACTCTTGGGCTACTCTTTTACCAACGAATAGTGGGACTGACCGTCACATTATAACGCCCCCACGGCTGAAAGGGCGAGCATGTTTGGTGGGATGCGGATTCGAACCCGCGACCCTCAGATTGTGAGTCGAGCGCCTTATCCACTTGGCCATGCCCGCTATAAATCACAGTGATTCACACACTTACGGAGCCTACTGTTTGCTTGACTCCATTATCTATCTCTCTCTTCAATCTATCTCTTCCCTCGCGCTGGTTTTTCTCGCCAGGCTTATATACTAAAAAAGAGGGCGCCTCGAAGAAACTCAGGCCTCCCCGATAATTCATGAACCTTCCCGAAACTCCAGCGCGCATGCTCCCAGCGTCACGCGACTTCTGCTGTCGTCACAATACTATATATAAAGCCTGCAGTAGTTTGCACAAACTGATCTGAAGACTTTTGAAACACCATCTTCTACACTTGAGCTGCATAAATAGATTGTATAGTCACCAGTATATTTCTACAATTGTTTCTCTAACAAGTAGTAGCTGCTTATTTCACAGTCAACTCAATATGAATACTCTGCCTAAACTATATATCAAAGAAGAATAAATTAGTTTAAGATTCAGAAACTAGTTCCCTCAGCTATAAACAGCACCCAACTACATTACATTTATTTTGTTACAAAGTGAGAAAAATTAATTAATATATAAAAAGAGCACGTTTCCCTGCAAAGCTAGAATTAGGATTATGGGTAAACATTTAAAGTGATTATATTCATTAAAAAATTGCTTATTAATATATGTATTTTGTGTTACTGTTAATAAAATTAATTGAAGAGGTATTAAGTGTGGCCACTTTCACTTTATTTTACATTCTGATTTCATTTTTTACATTTTTCTTCACACGTACATGATGTAATGATTTATTTAATCAATCTGACTTTATTCAACATATTTGGTGTTAAATATAGTCTTTTTTATTGTTTTTAACACAGTTGGCTTCAAAAAGTACGCGAGAAAACAACGGTCGTTAAAACTTTTCTGAGACTGCATCTATGGAGTCAGTAGTTTCAATCAATCAAAGTAAGACTGATAATGACTTTTTTAGAA